CCACACAAGCGTGAGCTGCAGATCGATGAGGGACCTGCCCAGCAGTACCGCCGCTTTGCAGAACACCTGCACTGCACTGTTTTCCCAGAGTTTGTGAGTGCTCCTTCTCTGTGTGTCTCCTTCAGGGTCACAGCCAAGCATTGCTGTCACACCTTCTGCCAGGGTACAGCAGGGACTGGCTCCAGGGCAGGGCAGCTAAGAGTTGGGGGGGACCCCAGAGCAGGCAATGTCCTCACCAGCAGGCACAGTGAAGGGGCAGGTAACAGGTCCATCAGTAGTCCCAGACACATGAAGTGAAGAACCAGCTCCAGGGTCCATCCAGGAAACAAAAGGAGACAGGACTAGAGGCATGGCTACAACACAGCTCTAATGTCCATCCAGGGCTGGAGACAAGCTGCCATGTCTATCTGAGGGGTCCATCCAGGAGCTGAGCTACCTATAGCACAAGTCCAAGGTCCACTCAGAAAGCAGATACAGAAACCAGCTCACCCACAGCAATGCTTGAGTAGCAGCTCAAGACCCTTAAATAGGCTGTGGGCAGGGGGGGTGAGTAGAGGCCCCAGGTGAGGCTGGTCTGGGCCATTAAAGACAATTTGTGCCTCCAGGGCCCTGACATGTTCATGGCCAGCCATGCAGGCAGGGCTGCAGCTGAGCACAGGGTGGTGGAAAACCAGGTGTGCTGTTTATTTGACTCACACAAGATGCTTGTTGCCAAACCTCAGTCCAACCTACCCACACCTTGTGGGCATCTATACTCACCTTTGGGAGCCCAAGAACCCCCATCTGCCTTCTTCCACTACCCTTGCTTGCTTCTCCAGGACTACTTGGGCGGTGGCTGCCACCTTCAATGCAGTCAGGGAGATTTTCCGAGCAGTGAAGAGTGTAGCAGAGCAGCCTAAACCCCACACTTGGATGCTGGCATTTCCAGGGAGCACCAGCACAGGGAGGGGGGGTAGCTACATGGAATAACCACACAGACCCTGGGCTGAGGGCTTCCATCAAACCAGGACACTATGACCTGCATGGGACAGTCACTGCAGCACCCTGCTTGGCCCACGGGACCTCGTGCATGAGGATGCCACCCGATCGTTTGCATGGAGCACAGGTTTTGAATCGTGACATGCATAACTGCTCTCTACCAAGGGTTTGCTTTGGTTGGCATCCTATGTGCCTTCAGGGGAAGATGCCTCAGATGGTCCCCGCTCCATACAAGTTCTTCAGCAGGTCCACCAGCCTTTTCTCCTGTGTAAGACAGTGCCCCATGCAGACAGCTGGGCCTGTCTGGGGATTTATGTCAAGATTTGTGTTCTCTCGCCCCACAGAAGCGACGGCTGGACAGGCTGGGGTGCCACGCCCTATGCTGGTGGGGCCACAGCAGCTGGTCAAGAAGCGCCTGGACAAGCTGCTGGACTATGAGGAGATCCAGGAGCGGAAGAGTGAGATGGGCAGTGTGACATATGATGAGGAGGCAGCCATGAACACCTACCTCGCCATCAATGCCTTGCTCGTAGCTGAGCTTCCACGGTTCAACCAGGCAGCTCTGCAGCTCCTTGGGCAGATACTGTGCTCCTTCAGTGCTCTGCAACGGGACTTGGCTGCCCAGGTGCTGCACCAGGCAGAAAAGGAGCTAGAGCAGGTGAGAGTGACCCCTGGCTGTGTGTACCCAAAGCAGTGCACGTGCTGAGCCAGACCTGCCTTCTTCAGGCTTGGGATGTCACTTGGACGTAAGGGCAATGGAGGTTTGCTGTAGCCCAATCCCGCCCTTGCAGACACATGGCTCCCTGTCTAGCATTTCAAAGTGAGCTCGCCTCTCCCTTGGCTGGGGAAAAGCCAATTTTTCTCTTCTTCACTGCCAGGAACTGTCCTGCTCTCTTTGAGGACACCACTGGTAATTTATTGATGTGATGCCTGAGAGATCAGTGTTAACTCTGAGCTCCCAAGAGCTCTGTGCCAGGAAGGTAAGGAGGAGAAAGACAGATCCCGGCCTGAGGAATGAGCATCCTTCGAACCCTTATCCCCTGGGAGATACCTGGGATCGGGCATCACAGCCCGAACCCCTGGGATGGGCTGCAGGCTCGGGTCAGGACAGCAGGAACCAGGGACTGTTGCAGTGGGCTGGGTGCAGCCCAAGAACCCCATGTGTCATGGCCCTGCCCAGGGAAGGTGGCTCAAAGCCAGAGAGGAGCAGCTTTGGTCCTAGATGTATGTCTAGTGGCAAAGTCTGTTCTCTTGCTTTCTCAGCCCTATTCTTCCTGATTCTTCTCTTTTGACCCTACCCACAGCTTTTTCCCCTCCCTAGAGCCTTCTCTGATCTCAGGGTCTGTCTTCACAGATGCCCCATGGCCACATGCCTCTACCCAGTTTCTGGAAGATGGTGGGAGACACCTTGCAGCAGTCTGGCACTCAGCTCCGTACCTTCTGCCAGACATTTGAGATGGTGACACCAAGCCCTGTGACACAGGTAGGAGCTGGCAAGGGGTGTCTCAGGCCAGCTGGATGAAGAGGCAGGACTGCAGCTTCCCAGTGTAGAACATCTCCTTGAGGGGGAGGTTGGCTCAGAAAGTGGCACTGGGGGTTGCCACCGCCACAGTATTTCCCCTGAGCCCCAACAGCAGCTGATTGGGAATAACCAGGGCTGAAATAGTCTCATCTCTTCTGGTTCTGGACACTCATCTCCAGACCATGAGGAAGAGCAGATAATTAGTGTGAAGGAGTTTCTCCTCTAACGTCTCACTAGGATGTGATCCTGCAGAGAGGTACATGGGGGGGCCTCAGTCTCTTTTGTGTCTCATCAAGTGCTCCTATGTCTCTTGCTCCCCACCAGCCTCTGAACCCTGCTGAGGAGCGAAAGGTCCTTTCCCTTGTGAGCAAGCACGGCCCAGACAAGCTTTACCAAGTGACAAGCAACATCAGTGGCAGCAAAGACTTGGACCTGACCTTGCAAAGAGGACAAGTTGTAGCTCTGCTGCAAAGTGTGGACACTAAGGGGAACACAAGCAGATGGCTGGTGGATGCTGGAGGTACTGTGAGCCTCTCCCTGCCTCGGCACCAGGGTCAGAAACCAAACCCAAACCACTTTTTCATCTTGGATGAAGCAGTGGGCTGTTGCCTCCTGGGTCCTCCCTTCCAGGGCTTGCTCAGCCCAAACCCACCTCTGCTTTGCCAGCTACACCCATAGCCATTAGCTGTAAAGTTCAGGTTTCCCCATCCATTCCCCAAGGGAGCACTCGTGAATTGTCATGGCTGAGGAAGGAGAACCCTGCGCACACAGAAACATCTTGAAGCCCCTTTTTGGGGGGTTTTGCTGCTGGATATCCCCTAGTGACAGACCAGTTTGAACAGGGCTGATGTGCCATGCCAGGCAACAGCCGAGTTGTCATTCCTCTCTCCTCCAACCAGTCCTACATGTGCCAGGCAGTGGGGCCCCATGACCTGTGTGTGTGCGTGTCCTTCAGGTCCCCGAGGGTTTGTGCCTGCTGGAAAACTCCAGCCCTATGGCCCGGTACAAAGCCAGCAGCCTGGGATGCAGATGCCAACCCTGGAGACGGGCACAGAAATAAGGAGGCATTCATATGCATCACCTGAAGCTCCCAGGCCCCAAGTGGCCACCTTCACCCCAGCTTTCCAGGTGAGAATGGGGGAGACCCCTCGGGACCATTCCTGGCAACCCCACCAGCTCCATGCTAAGCCTTGTGTGTGCAGTGTGTGGGTGGGAAGGTGGACCTGCTTTTCCAGCACACACATGGTCATACGTGTGCAGGCATGTGCCTAGCAGGGGAGTGTCACACACCCTGACCGAGTGCCCCGTGAGGCTGCTGTCCGCCTTGCTGGGACCTGGGGTGGATAGAGCAAGAGAACTGTGCTTGGCAGGGTCCCCAGTGTCCCTCTGTTGATGGCACTGCTGCGCTGCGCTCTCAGAAATGGGCTCCTGCTCTGCCATCTATGTCCTTTCCCCCTTTGACTCTCACATCCAGCAAGGGCTTCCTCCCTCCTTCCCCTGCCTTTCACAGGTGGTTGCCGGCTTCTCCTTCGCAGCCAGGAGTCCACAGGAGGTGAGCCTCCAGGCAGGGCAGCCCGTGGTGGTGCTGGAGCCGCATGACAAGAAGGGGAGCAAGGAGTGGAGCCTGGTGGAGGTGAATGGCCAGAGGGGCTATGTGCCCTCCAGCTACCTGGTGACTGTCCCTGTGCAGGATCCCATGGGCTGGAGCTTGCCCGTGTGAGCATGACCAGCCTGCACCCAAGGGCATAGGCTTCGTTGGATGAGAGCTGTCCGCGTGGCACCCAAGGACTTGTCGCAGGAGATGCTGGCGATGGGCAGCCCTGGGCTGGGGAGGCAGTGGGAAGCAGAATACGGCCCAGGGGACGTGGGTGCAAGGGATGGCAATTGGGAGGCACTTTTGGATGGGTAGGTGTGAGGGTGCCATGTCCCATACGTGTTTGTGCAAAGGAAAGCAGCATGAGGGAGTGAGGGCAGGTGGCTGCAGTTTTCCAGGGTTTTACTGAAATCCATGTCAGTGACAAAAATGTCCCTAGGGGTGACAAGAGACCATTGTCCCCACCGAGATCAGGACTGAGCTGAAAAGGGTGCAGCGCTGCAAAGGGGGTGCCCAGCCTGGCATGGAGCATCTGGGGTGCTTGGGGCAGTGCTGGTGTGGGCGCAGAGACCGAGGTGGAGCAGCCCTGGAGATGTGGCTCCCTGCTCCTCACCGGGGCACTGTGTGTGCCTGGGTGCCCACCCCAATATGTCATTGCGGTCCCTTCACATTGCACAGCCATCATGTCCTGCTAAGGGACACAGCAGCGCCAGCCTGCGCCTGGCCGCACTGCCAGCGATGGCAGGTGCTGGGCTGAGCCCGGTGGTTGGGGTCCTCCCCAGCCCTCCTGGCCACCCAGCTCGGCTCCTGGCCTCAGTTTCCCTCGGTGCAGCAGGGCTGACACTGCTGACCCCTCTGAGAGGCACTTTGGTGAGGAGAAGTGCTCTGCACGCCACGGGTGCCATGTCGTGTGAGCGATACGCTGACCTTGTAATGCGTGACACCTTCTCTCTGCCCCACCCGTGCTGGAGGGCTCACCCCCACGCGCGGGGCCGTGCCGTGGGGCTGCCCAGCGTCCGTGGCAGCGTGGCCGCGAGGTGGCAGAGCAGCCCCGAGCGCCTCGGCCGTGCACTGGGAGCACTGGGAGCACTGTTTCTGGAGTGCTGGCAGGCTGCAGTGGAGTGTGTGCGTCCTTGTCCGGCATGGGGACAGCCCGAGGCGGCGGGGCTGGCGGGGCGGGGCAGTGGCTGAAGGCGAGCTGTGCTCTGTGTCCTTCCCAGCCGCTGCTGCTCAGGGCTGGGGAGAGAGAGCAAACAGCTCCTGGGGCTGCACGGACACCCCTGACCCACACAGATCTCCAGCGATTTGACACATGCATGCTCTCTAGAATCACAGGCCCCGTGGAAGAAGTTTTTGTGAGAACCAAACAGGGTCGGTCAGTCTCTGACCTAAGGCTCGGTCTGGGGTTGGAGACAGCACTCCCTCCCACCGCTGCCTGAGGCGTCACAGCTCCGTGAGAAGTTTTTGTGAGAACCAAACAGGGTCGGTCAGTCTCTGACCTAAGGCTCGGTCTGGGGTTGGAGACAGCACTCCCTCCCACCGCTGCCTGAGGCGTCACAGCTCCGTGCCTCAGTTTCCCCATGGCTTGCGGTGATGATGTGCTGTTACGTGATGCTGGTGGGGCTCAGGGTAGGGAGCC